ACGGAGGATCACTGTGTCACCCAGGCTGGAGTGCAATGGCGTGATCTCGGCTCATTGCAACCTCCGCCTCCCAGGTTCAAGTGATTCTCCTGCCGCAGCCTCCTGAGTGGCTGGGATTACAAGCATGTGCCACTGCACCCCGATAATTTTTGTATTTTTAGTAGAGACAAGGTTTTACCATGTTGGCCAGGCTGGTCTCAAACTCCTAACCTCGTGATCCACCCACCTCGGCCTCCCAAAGTGCTAGGATTACAGGCATGAGTCACTGCGCCCGGCATAAACAGTTTTTTAACCATCACTTAGCAATATGCTATGAGCATTTTTCTATGACAGTAAATATTAAAAAATTGTTAATGACCGTATCAAAACCTTTTAACCAGCTTTCATTTGCTAAAGATTTAGAATGCTTCCTGGTTTGCAAAATAAATTTATAAATGATATCATTATAAACATTCTTACAATTAAATCGTTGGGTGCATCCATTATTATTTCCTTAGGATAAATTTCAAGAAGTAAAATTACTGAGTCAAAGGTTTATACATTTTCACAAGTTTGATAAATATTGCCAAATTGCCAGCTAGAGGAGTTTTGCCAATTTATACTTCTAGTAGAGAAGGAAAATTACCTTTTTTTCCTCTGGTTTTCAACAATGTTGTTTATTATAATTAAAAAAAAATGTTATTACCATGGAATTAAATTACAGTATTCGTATTTCCAGGGATTCTTTTACCGTTGACTTTTTGCTTTTGAAAGATTTTGGAAAACTGTGAAATTGGTTTCAAATTTCTTGGCATGTGAATCATCAAAATCCCCACCACCAGAGGCATCTATGTATTTCCTCTTACTAAGTGTTTAAGCATGCGAGATCTTCTCATCCATATAAATTATAATTCCTATTCATAAGAATTCCAGTCTGCTTAAGTTAATCCATTTCTGTAAGATGTTGATAATTCATACCAAAGTCTTACCCTTACATTGTACCTGTTGCAGTGAAATCTTATCCCCAAACTGTTTTACTATAACAAGATTGACTTTTCTTTTCCTACTTACGATTTTAAATATTCATTTTCTTTCCTTTAAAGATTTTTCAGATGTGAATGGTTGGCACCTTCGTTTCCGCTGGTCCAGGGATGCTCCCTCAGAACTCCTGAGGAAGTTCAGAAACTATGAAATATGAAATATCTCTGCTTCAAAAATGCGGAAGAGCAAGACTGTCCCCTACGCTGCCAACATGCAGCCTTTGTTTATATTTTCAGCATGTCATGTTTATATGTCATGTCTGTGAATTGCTGAGTACTAATTGATTCCTTCATCCTTGAACCAGATCTCATAGTGCTTTTTAAATGAGAAAAATTTCAGAAGACAAATTTCTTCCAATATTTGAATAAATTAAAGCTCTTAGATACAGAGTAGATTGTATTATGTTTTTTCCTGTTAATCCTATTTGTAGAAATCCATTAAAAATCAATCTCTGTCCAGTGTGTTTAATTATTTCATTGCTATACTATGATCTCTATTAGTGATGGATATACAAAAAATGTTTTCATATCTTTGACTTACAATGAAATGTGAAATTACTTGCCTAAACCCCATGGAGTGAAATAGATAATTTCCCCAAAGTTCATAAATGAATTTATAATTCAATTTTTTTTTTTAGGGTCTTGTTCTGTCACCTAGGCTAGAGTACAGTGTAATAATCATAGCTCACCATAACCTCAAACTCCTATGCTCAAGTGATCCTCTTGCCTCAGCCTCCCTAGTAGCTGGGACTAGAGACACACACCACCATGCCTGGCTAATTTTTTATTTTCTGTAGAGATGAGATCTTGCTATGCTGCCCAGGCTAGTCTTGAACTCCTGGCCTCAAGTGATCCTCCCATCTTGGCCTCCCAGAGTGCTCAGAATACAGCCATGAGCCACCATGCCTGGACTTGACTGTATTTTAAAAATAATTTGAATAGACATTTCTAATTTAATTTAAAAAGTTATCTATTTGAGGAAATTATGATTTTACAAGATTTCTTGTGTTATATAAGCAAGTGATAATTTTTTTTTTTTTTTGAGATGGAGTCTTGCTCTGTCTCCCAAGCTGGAGTACAATTTTGTGACCTCAGCTCACTGCAACCTCCACCTCCCAAGTTCAAGTGATCCTCCCACCTCAGCCTCCTGAGTAGCTAGGATTACAGGAGTATACCACCATGCCCAGCTGATTTTTTTGTATGTTTAGTAGCAATGGGGTTTCACCATGTTGGCCAGGCTGGCATCAAACTCCTGACCTCAAATGATCTGCCCACCTTGGCCTCCCAAAGTGCTAGGATTATAGGCATGAGCCACTCTGCCCGGCTGCAAATGATAAGTCTATAAAATATATTACAACTATGGAAATGGACCTGTTAGGTAATAGAACTTCTTTGGGTTGCAATTATTGATGGTAACATGTAGTCTATAGTTTCTTCTTAGCTTGTGAACAAGTGAATGAAAAAGAAAAAAAAGGATTTTAGAGTGAAGGTTTCTTAGTGACAGAGTTTTCACTAGGCTACAGCACAATGAGAAAGGTAAAGAGTGTAGAAAGTACTATGGTCTGAATGTTTATGTTCCTCCCAAATTCACAAGTAGAAATTCCTAAAGCCCAAGGTGATGGTAGTAAGAGGTGATGCCTTTGGGAGGTGATTATGTCATGTTGGCCACCCTCATGAATGGGATTAGTGCTCTTATGAAAGAGGTTTGAAAGAGAGAGAGCCCTTGCATTCCTTCCACCATGTGAAGACACAGCAGGAAGTCACCATCTGTAAGCCAGAAAGTGGGGCCTCACCAGATAACAAATCTGCCCTGTTCTTGGACTTCCCAGTCTCCAGAAATGTTGAGAAATAAAATTTTGTTGTTTATAAGCTGCCCAGTTTATAATATTTTGTTAAGTAGCCCAGTGGACTAAGACAGCAATTTTGTTTTCCATTTTTTTCCACTCCCCTCCTCCACAGACAGTGTCTTTTAAAAAGCTAAATTTATTCAGTATAAAGGGCTGTCTGTTATTTAGATACCATGTCCTCCCAACCATTGTAGTTCATTTTAAATTTAAACTTAATTTTTTTTTTTCTTGAGACAGATCTTACTCCGTCGCCCAGGCTGGAGTGCAGTGGCGCAATCTCGACTCACTGCAACCTCAGCCTCCTGAGTTCAAGCGATTCTCCCGCCTCAGTCTCCTGAGTAGCTGAGATTACAGACGTCTGCCACCACGCCTGTTGAGATGAGGTTTCACCATATTAACCAGTCTTGTTTCAAACCCCTGACCTCAGGTGATTCACCAGCCTCGGCCTCCCAAAATGCTGGGATTACAGGCATGAACCACCGTGCCTGGCGCTCCAACCATTGTAGTTTGAAATGTGTTTCCTTTAATGAAATGGTGTCAGAATAGCCTGTATTAGTTTGCCAGGGCTGCCACAACAAAATACCATAGACTAGATGCTTAAACAGTGTTTCTCACAGGTCTGGAGGCTAGAAGTCCAAGATAAAGGTGTCAGCAGGTTTGCTTTCTCTGAGGCCTCTTTTGGCTTGCAGATGGCCACCTTCTTGCTGTGTCCTCACGTGGCCTTTTCTCTGTGCATACACATCCATGGTGTCTCTCCCTTTTCTTATAAGGACACAGTCATATTGGATTAAGTCCCACCCTAATGACTTCATTTTAACTTAATCTCCTTTTTCCAGATCTTATCTCCAAATAAGCTTACATTATGAGGTACTGGGGTTTGGGACTTCAACATATGAATTTCAAGGGCACACAATTCTGTCCATAACATCCATGAAAACTCTTTTTTTTTTTTTTAAACTAATACAACTCTGTTGGTTCTTTTATTTGTATTTGAATTTTTACTGTTTTGTGAAGTCTAAAAGTTAGAGCCAACTGTTTAGATAATTATTTCTATCAATATTTTAGCACCTTAGTAAAACATGGTTTGGCATCACCATTTTGCCAATTTTACTTCAAATATAAAAAATAAATGCAAAAAACCTAGCATGTTAATTTAGTAAAGTGAGCTTTTGGACAACAATTGCCTATTTTTTTTTAATTTTTGTAAATTATTTTATTTCTTCTATGGTGATTTAGAGAGACTATCTTCAAACCAGTACAAACATTTCATAAATAATATATGGCTGTTTTGTAACCAGTTGAGTAATTTGTTGCATAATAAGCCACCTCACATCTTTCAGCAAGAAATACATTAAATTTGAATAGTAAAGACGTTACACAATGAATTAGGACACAATTAAAATTTGCTTTAAATATTTCTTTGGAGGAATGACACCACACTTACACTCAATGAAGAGGAACATTTTTACAGTTCAGAGGTCTTTTGTTATTTTTTACACCTATTATGCCATGAATTCAAAGGGAATAGGTTCCAGCAGCTCAGGCGCCTTCCCATTGGTTCCAACGATCACACTTCTCTGGGTGGAGCAGGCTGGGGCTTCAGTTGAACCCAGGTGCCTTTCTCTTTGGCTTCTTTCTTCTTCTGATCATTTTCCTTCACGCGTTTCAGGGAGCTATCTCGGCTTCTAGAGCGTTTAATGTGCTCCACAAGCACACGAATTCTCTGGGCAAGAATCTTGCTCTCAACTCGTGTGTTGACAACAATGCCAGCGGCATGCTGGGTAACACTGTAGACTTCCGGTTTTGCCTGGTAACACTTGCCGGCATTCCTTTTTGAACAACCCATTCCCTTGATGTCTACAAGATCGCCTTTCTTATAGATTCGCATGCACAGGGTCAAAGGAACAAGTCATTGTTTTCTAAAAGGTCTAGAGAACATCTGTCGGGTGCCTCTCCGCTTTTCCTCTGTGTTCCTCATTTTGGTGAATTATTAGAAAATGGCGGTTCCCGCCAAAAGGCAACAATTGCCTGTTACAATGTCTGCCTCGCCCATGTAGGCACCCAAATAAATACCATATTGAATAAGTGAATTTTTGAATCTAAGAATCAGGGTTTTATTTTAATTTTGCTCCCAGACTGATTTATAACACTGATGACTTTTAATGACTTGTCAAAGGCAAAAACACTTTATTCCCGCATTCCATTCTGTTTTTGTTACAGACTCATTTCCCAATTGTTGACAAGATGGAGCACCAGCTCTTGTTTGCTTTTCTCTCCACTTTAAGGGAGGTTTATAATGGGTCAGGCTTGTGCTAAGCATTTTGTATACTTGATCCCATTTAACTTAGTAGCAGACCTTTTACACTTAAAGACTTAAATACTCCCTGAACGCAAAGTATAAAAAGGGAGGGGACTGTACTGTGATAGTGCAGTCTTTTGAATGAAAAGTAGCAGGAAAACTGGACAACATTTCTTCAATAATTCAGTTCAGTTTCCTGGTGTGTCCAGCACCATAATCGGGTGTGCATATATAGAATAGCACACTTTAAACGCCACTTATTTTTGCATTGTGGCTCAACTTCATGCCATAGTAAACTGATTATGAAAAGACATTTTTACTTAACTTCATGCCATAGTACACTCATTATGAAAAGACATTTTTACTTAACGATTATTAACCTGTAAAATCAGCAGCTCTAAATGGTGAAGATATTTTCTCTTATATTTGATACTGACTGAATGAAGCACATGTTTTTTGAGAATATTATGTGATAAATATTATACTAGCATTTGTGTAGGATTTAGTAGAGACAGGGTTTCACCATGTTGGTTAGGCTGGTCTTGAACTCCTGACCTTGTGATCTGCTCACCTCAGCCTCCCAAAGTGCTAGGATTACAGGTATGAGCCACCGTGCCTGGTTTAGATAATTATTTATATCAATATTTTAGCACTTTAGTAAAACATGGCATTACCATTCTGCAAATTTTACTTCAAAAATAGAAAATAAATGCAAAAAACCTAGCATGTTAAGTGTACACACACACACACACACACACACACATCATACATCATACACAATACATATATTTTGTAGAGATGGAGCCTTACTGTATTGCCCATGCTGGTCTCAAACTCCTGGCCTCAAGTGATCCTCTTGCTTTGGCTTCCCGAAGTGCTGGGATTTTAGGTGTTAGCCATAACACCTGGCCTGTGTAGGATGTCAGAAGGCTTATATCATGTCTCAAGGAGCTGATATTCTAGTGAAGTAAGACAGGTATGTAAATAACTGTCAGTTTAAAAGTAGTATATTGAATTAGTTTAAATATGTAATGTGCTTAGAACATGAGGAGTAAGTGCTTTGTGTATTAGTTACCGTTCTTACTGCATTCGTATGTGTTGAGGCACTATTTCTTGCATATCTTTCCTTAGGTATCCTGGGATTTACACACATTTATGTGTTTTTGTTCCTTACGCAAATGATAGCATAGTATGTTCACTCCTGAATAATTTCCATTTACGCAGTTAATATAACTTGGAAGTTTTTTCATTTTAGTGTTTGAGTGCTAATGTATTCTTTTTACCTGCTACATGGCATTCTGTTGTGTGGATGAACCATACTTTTCTCTCTCTATTTTTTGGTTTGAGACGGAGTTTCGCTCTTGTTTCCCAGTCTGGCGTGCAATGGTGCTGTCTCAGCTCACTGCAACCTCTGCCTCCTGGGTTTAAGTGATTCTCCTGCCTTGGCCTCCCAAGTAGC